GGATGACACCAAGGTGAAAAACTTTGTCACCTGTTTCAAAGGTATTTCTGGGGTTTTGAAATACAAATACAAATAATTTCAAATACTTGCACACATGCATAATGCATATATCCAATACTATGTTGTGCAATGGTCTTATGGAACATGCATATGTCATGTGGTCTCTATTACATTAATATAAACCTCTTTAGCCTGGCTTCTTACACAGTCATTATGTACAGTACAATAATGCTATTTTCTTCTTCTGTACTTAAAATTGTCCTTATAAAGAAGTACTGTGACTGTAACATAGTATGATGATGATAATATATCACAGTACTGTATGGTTACCATATTCCTAACCCATGGAAAGGTTTCAAAAATGGTGGTTTGTGAGATGAAAAGCTAATAATTAAAGATAAAATAAATAAAATTTAATTTTTAATTTTAATTATTCGAAAATAAAACATTTGCATGATTTCCAACTTTTTTGTTAACAAACGTTTACAGCTTTTCTCTAGTTTTTACCCAAAATAAAAGCTTCTGAATTTAAATGTTTGGAAGCATAAATATTAGTATTATAAATTGTGTTGTAAAGTAAAATTATTATTCAAATATCAAATATTCATTTTTTTATTTTACAGTACAATTGTAATTTTCAACTTATACTTCTGTTCATTTTAATAGTTAAAACAATAATACTAACAATAGCATTATTAGCATCATTAATAATATGAGAACTGTGAACGTGAATTTGTTATTAAAATATTGAAATATAAGGTCAGTGTTAGTTTATTATCATTGACATAAGATATGAGGTTTTTATTAATTCTTTAAACCGTTTTAAACTTGAAATTAAAAAATAACAGTATTTAAATTTTAAAGTTGTAGTAATTTTGTGGTGTTTTTGTCTTTTACATACACACACATATATTATACATTTTTTATTTCAGTTTTATTTATTTTAGTACTGGCTGATTAACTTTATAAACTTTATAAACTTTTATATAAACTATTTATATTTAATTTTATTTCAGCTCATGTTTATTGACATAAGATATGAGGTTTTTATTAATTCTTTAAACAGTTTTCAATTTGAAATAAAAAATATAAAATTTTAAAGTTGTAGTAATTTTGCTGTGTTTTTGTCTTACACACACACACATATATATATATATATATAAAATACATTTTTATTTCAGTTTTATTTATTTTAGTACATAAGCTGGCTGAACAAACTTTTTTTATATTTTATTTTATTTCAGCTAACGTTTATTTTATTTCAAGTAACAAAAGTGTTTTTTTAATTGTTTTAATTGTAGTTTCAGTTTTAGTTTTACTAAACTGCAATAAACCAGCTTTAAGTAAATATTTCACATCTGAATGGTTTGGCTGACAAAAAAAATGGCTGACGCCATTATTTGCATAATGTTTGAAATGCATTTAATTGTGGATTTTTCCTATTCATTTTCTCACTATAGGCGTGCTAAATGGCATTAGGCATTATTAAAGACTAAAGAGTTTGAACCAAATCAACCAGCTCTAAGATTAACTGGCACCATTACAGTATAAAAAAAACCCCTCAAAAGCCACTTGCTTAATGTTATTGTCTTTTTCTCTTGTTAGACCAGCACTTCTTAGTGTTCTTCTTCAACCGTCTGAAGGTCAATCAGAGCGGCCGATATGAACAGGACTTCCCCTTCCTCTCGCTCTGCGGACGCGAGCGTAACTTCCTGCGCTGTGAAGACCGGCCCGTTGTGTTCACGCACCTGGTATCGGAGGCGGGGCACGAGGAGCGTCTGTCATACTGTGGAGGCGGAGCCAAACTGACCGCTCCATTCCGCCCAGCATCTCTCTTCATGCACCCAGTGAGCGGTAGAGTGTACCATCCTGGACCGGAGCGGGGGGGAGGTGTGGGGTTGGTACGGTCAGCGCTGGCCATTGAGCTGAGCACTCACTTTGAGTACACCATGTGTCAGGAGAGCACGGGACAGCCCACTCATTTCATATGGGCGGGGCATCCACACACTCTAACCAATGAGCTGGCCAAACATTTTCCTGTTTAAAAAGATGAATGTGTGAAGCTACAGTGATTCAGTCAACCAACAGATAGATTATCATCATTAAAATCCTGCTGAAATTAATGTATATTTAGGTATAATGTATATTCTGAACATACTGCTGAAATAAATGTATATATTGGGTCTTATTAATATTAAAAATAATTTACTCATCCTCGTTTCTTCCCATATCCATGCTACTTTCTTCTGCAGAGAACGAACAGATGTTAAGCAGGTCCTCTCTTAAACACGGCAGTGTTTAAAATATAAAAAATTTAGTGAATCAAGCTACAAACTTGATCATAATGCACAATGTTTCCATCTAACATGCATTTTGAGCTGCAGCTCGTCATATTAATGGAGTGTTTCACTAGTTAGCAGTAAACCGGTTATCTCACCTAAACATTTGTGTTGGATGTTGTCTTTGGAGATATGGATTTTATTTGTAAACATAATACCTTTTTGCTTATTTCAGTGAATGTCATAAAACTAGCGAGCAAAGTCAGTAGTACTGACAGTGTTGTATAAACATGGCTTAAGACGAGAAAACCGGAGGAACAGACAAACTGATTCAATTGAGTGAGTCATGAAAAAAAAAAAAAAAAACAGATCAAAAGAGCCATTAATTTTCGAGTTTCGACATCGCTTGTAATGATTTTAAAAAGTACGCTTAGTGAGGGGTAAAATGGAGCTTTTCGAAACTCGGAATGAGTTAAACTATTGCGTCGCAAAATGATTCAGTTTCAAAGCACTCCAGTCAGATCGCAAATCATTTGATTCAGATCGGGACTTCACATCATCTATCGCAAATAATTTGATTTAGATCAGAACTTCGGAGAGTGTATCGCAAATCATTTGATTTAGATCGGAACTTCATATCACGAATCATTTGATTCAGATCGGAACTTCGGAGCGTGTATCACGAATCATTTGATTCAGATCGGCACTTCGGAGCGTGTATCGCAAATCATTTGATTCAGATCGGAACTTCGGAGCGTGTATCGCAAATCATTTGATTCAGATCGGAACTTCGGAGCGTGTATCGCAAATCATTTGATTCAGATCGGAACTTCGGAGCGTGTATCGCAAATCATTTGATTCAGATCGGAACTTCGGAGCGTGTATCGCAAATCATTTGATTCAGATCGGAACTTCGGAGCGTGTATCGCAAATCATTTGATTCAGATCGGAACTTCGGAGCGTGTATCGCAAATCATTTGATTCAGATCGGAACTTCGGAGCGTGTATCGCAAATCATTTGATTCAGATCGGAACTTCGGAGCGTGTATCGCAAATCATTTGATTCAGATCGGAACTTCGGAGCGTGTATCGCAAATCATTTGATTCAGATCGGAACTTCGGAGCGTGTATCGCAAATCATTTGATTCAGATCGGAACTTCGGAGCGTGTATCGCAAATCATTTGATTCAGATCGGAACTTCGGAGCGTGTATCGCAAATCATTTGATTCAGATCGGAACTTCGGAGCGTGTATCGCAAATCATTTGATTCAGATCGGAACTTCGGAGCGTGTATCGCAAATCATTTGATTCAGATCGGAACTTCGGAGCGTGTATCGCAAATCATTTGATTCAGATCGGAACTTCGGAGCGTGTATCGCAAATCATTTGATTCAGATCGGAACTTCGGAGCGTGTATCGCAAATCATTTGATTCAGATCAGAACTTCGCAAATCATTTAATTCAGTTCGGAACTTCGGAGCATGTATCGCAATCATTTGATTCAGATCGGAACTTCGGAGCGTGTATCGCAAATCATTTGATTCAGATCGGAACTTCGCAAATCATTTTGATTTAGATCGGAACTTCGGGGTTGTGGCTAGAAGGGATACGCTATGGCCGGAAACCAACAATAAATTGTCACAGCGTAATTGTCATTGAGACTTGTCATAGCACTTGCATATTGCAATTTTGTTGATTTTGATTGCTTCCATTATCCTCATTTGTAAATCACTTTGGATAAAAGCGTCTGCAAATGACTAAATGTAATGTAATGTAATAGGCTAAATTACATTTTCTACCCATTACATTTTGGTCTACAACACCTACCCCCAACTCTAAACCAACCCCTTACAATAATGCAAATACTGTAATTATTGGTGTTCAGCATGACAAAAATTACACTATATTGATGTGGCATAGTAGCCACAGCTGTATCCCTTCTAGCCTTAACCGAACTTCGGAGCAGGTTCGCGAATCATTTGATTTTGATCGGAACTTCGGAGCGGGTTCATGAATTTTTTGAATCAAATTACTGCAATATTTAGCTACTTAACCCAGGGGTCTTCTAGTAAATATTTTAGGTGATTGAAAAGAACTAGATTATTTTATATATTATAGTGTGGGAAAAATATAAAAAAAATATTGCAATGTTTTTGCGTTTCCTCGAGAAACTGCCTTCACTCGCAAAACTACACAATAGGCTACTTTTGCAAAAGAACGAAAACTTGAGAGCGAACGATAAGTTTCTCGGGGGACTGTAAACATTTTTTCAACAGAACCGAAACGATTTGAGAGCAAATACAAAGTTCTCGGAAGAACGCAAAACATTTGCCAGAGAACGCGTTTTGCGAAAATGCGCAAATGCACCGCTCCTTGAGGAAATGCGAGAGAACGCAAAAAACATTTAAGTCTATTTTTTTTTATATCAATCATTTTTTTATCCAATCTCCACGTTTCTTTACCTATTGGCGTCGTTTAACCAATACGTTTGGGACTTAATTTTATAAAATATGGAAAGTTCAAAACAACTATAGTTGAGCCAGAGTAGCCAAACATTTGCATTTTACAGTATAAATTTACGTTAGTTAATTAATACTTCGGCAGTGTTCCAATTCCTGGAGTGCAAATTAATTTGAATGATTTACAGTCTGAGGAGCTGTTATTGTCTTGATATTATCAGCAAGGTCATTTAGTCAGAGTGTTAAACCTCTTATCAGTTTACAAACACAGTGATTGAAGTACGCATGAGAGTAGTAGGGCGGAGACTGAATACTAGCACGAGTCGTGTAACTGTGTAAAGGGTCACCCGGTTACACGTGAGCATGGTGGGACAAGAAGGAAACTTAACAGGGAACGACAACAACCTGATGAACTGAACCGGAAAATGGCGACATGTGAGGGAAATGAAGCGCGCTCCGTGCTCAACCGGGTTCCTCCGTTACTCACGGATCTGTACCAGTTCACCATGGCGTACGCGTACTGGCGCGCGGGCAGACACAACGAGCCGGCCGTGTTCGAGCTGTTTTTCCGCGATAACCCGTTCGGCGGAGGCTTCTCGCTCTTTGCGGGTCTCAGCGACTGTTTGCTCTTTCTGCAGAACTTCACTTTCTCAGATGACGGTGAGTGTGTGCACTGTGTACTTGTGACATAACTTTAGTAACTCGCCTACTAAGAATGTGTATATAGCATTTTTGGGCATGCACCTCAATACTTAGTATGCTGCCTAACTACACAGCATTTGGTATGTCTTAAAACCAAGTGAACTGACTACCCAAACAGCTTTTTGGAGAATGCATTTCAAAACCTAGTATGCTGTCTATGTAGACAGCTTTTGACAACTGTCTCAAATCCTTGTGATCTGATTAAGCAGACAAAATTTTGGGCCATGCATCACTTAATCTAGTCTAAGTGAGCACCCTACCCAAACAGTTTTCTTTGGTCTTGCATCTCAAAACGTAATATGCTGCCTAACTAGACCGCATTTGTTGGGCATGTGTCTTAAAACCTAGTTAGCTCCCTATATAGCATGTTTGGTCATGCATCTCAAATCCTAGTATGCTGTCTACATAGACAACTTTTAGCAACGGTCTCAAAACCAGAATCTTTATTCTGATTGCGTTGATTGAACTTTTGGGCATGCATCACTAAACCTAGTACGCTGCCTAACTATACAGCATTATTTGGGCATATGCCTTCAAACCTAGTAAACTGACTAACTAAACAGCTTTTTCAGCATGAATCTCAAAACCTAGTATGTTCATGTTGCCTTACTAGACATCATTTGTTAGGCATGTGTCTTAAAACCAAATAAGCTCCCCACTAAAGTAGCTCTTCTGCTCATGCATCTCAAAACCTAGTATGCTGTCTACATAGACAGCTTTTGACAGCTGTCCCAAAACCTTGTGATCTGACTAAACAGGCTGAATTTTTGTAAATGCATTACTAAACCTAGTATCCTGCCTATGTAGATTTGGGTACTTGTCAAAACACTGATGAATGCATAGACTGAATTTTAGAGCATGCATCACTAAACCTAGTGCACTGCCTAACTAGACAGCATTTTTTGGGCATATGCCTTTAAAGCCAAGTGAGCACCCTACCCATGCATCTCATCACCTAGTAGGCTGTCTACATTGACAGCTGTCTCAAAAACTTATAATCTGACCAACTAGACAGTTTTTGGTCATGCATCACAACCCTGTCTAACTAGACGGCATTTGTCGGGCATATGTATTAAAACCAAGTGAGATCCCAACCCAATCAGCTATTTTGGTGATGCATCTCAACGCCTATATATGCTGTCCACATAGACAGCATTTTTGGTGATCTGACTGCGTAGACTTACTTAGATTTACTTTTCCTTCAGCCCGAAGTTTATTCATTTCACTTTTGGTGTGAAAGGGCTTTTACATGTGCAAAAAATAGAAATTTTTATATTAAAAACAAACAAGCAAGCTCTGCCCAGATTTAAAAAGTAACGCTAATGTAATGTATTACTTTCCATAAAAAGTAAGTAATGTAATTAGTTACTTTTTTAGGGAGTAACGCAATATTGTAGTGCATTACTTTTAAAAGTAACTTTCCGCAACACTGGTTGTAACATGATGCATGCATGCAAAGGAAGTAGTTCCTACTCTGCTTCTGTCCTGTGCATCCTGTAGATTCTGTCTGTATTATTTACTAAGCTCTTCATCATCTTGTGTGCTTCAGATGTGGAGTATCTGCGCTCCGTTCTCCCAGCAGGCACAGACGCTGCGTTCTTCTCGTATCTGAAGGAGCTGGACTGTTCGTCTGTGTCTGTGACGGCGGTACCTGAGGGGTCCGTGGTCTTCGCTCGAGTATGTGAGCGATTCAGAGGTCAGCTGTAATCTGACCTGCTGCTGCCAGAGCTCCAGTGTTCACACTGCTGTTCATGTGTTCAGGTTCCTCTGCTGGAAGTGTCTGGACCGCTGGCCGTGGTTCAGCTGCTGGAGACCAGTCTGCTCTGCCTGGTTAACTACGCCAGGTAAATACAGCATTCTGTTAAAGCACATTCATTCATTAGTTTCTTGAATGCAGTGGTGCCTTTAAAAACCAAGAATATGACAGTGTGCTGGTTTAAAATCACCTGGCATCATGAACAGGGTCAAAATGAGCCTTGAAATGTTACATTTTTGCAAAGGGAAGTGCTCAAATGTTCAAAACAGTGTTATTCATCCACCTCAGGAAGTCAAACCTAATATTTATATGATTTCAGAAGAACCAAGAATTGTGTGACTTGTTAGCAATAAAAATTAAACAAAAAATAGAGCTATATAAAAAAAAAATACAGAATCAGTGTTATTTTAGTATAACTGAGATACTACTTTAGTTTTTAAAAATAATTTGAACTAGTATTTTCTGATTTGAATTTAATCTTAGTTAAATTAGTTAATTTAGTTAAATGTAGTAATTTTGTTTTTGTCATTTTAGTAAATGTTTTTTTAATGTGTATATATAGTTTTTTTTCTCCATTTTGTTTTATTTTTTAGCAAGGTTAAATGAACATGAGAAATGTTAAAATAAATGAAGTAAATTCAAAAAAGTTTTTTTAAAGATAATATTTAATTTATGTCAAGTACCAATTTTTTATGGTTTTGGTTTTGCAGTTAATATATAACTACTGTATATATACTGTATATTTATTATTATTGGTATTATTTGTTATTATTTTTCTTATAATAACTTTGGTAACAAGGCTGAATTATTAAAGTTGATGATTCCAGTCAACATCTCAATTTGTGTAGAGAAAATACGATTATTTGCTTGTTTTCTCATCATGTTGTGGAACAGGCCCATTACTGTTTTGTTTTTGGTTATTTACATTAATTTTAATAAATGTTTCTTATTTTATAAAGTAACTGAAACTATTTTACTACAATGAACATCAATTCAGCAGACTGTATCAAAATGTCTAATAGTTCTCACTCTAGAAATGGGATTTGTGCTTTATTGTTTTAAAAACGATTAGGACTCCGGCTCCAGAATCTGTAGTTTTTGTCGTGGCTGGCTGCATAACGACTGTGTGCTCATGAAGTCTCTCTCCTCTCAGTCTGGTGTGTAGCAACGCTGCTCGTTTCCGTTTGGCTGCAGGTCCCAGACGCAGATTAATGGAGATGGGGCTCAGAAGAGCTCAGGGTCCTGACGGAGGCCTGACTGCCTCTCGATACACATACATTGGTGGTGAGTGAATGTGGAACGACGAGTCCACTGAAGTCCTGCTGAATGACAGTCATATGGACTATTCTATTTGAGTAAGCATCATGTGAACTGCTACTGCTGATTGTTTTTCCAGGTTTTGATTTGACGAGTAACGCTCTCGCCGGCCGTCTGTTTGGCATAACTAATATATAACACTATATATATATTGTCTATATATAACTATATATAAATGTGAACATGTAAATAGCATATTTTTTTTTTATATATTTGTTTATATATATATATATATATATATATATATATATATATACATACACACACTACTGTTAAAACGTTTGGGGTCGGTAATATATATAATTTTATTAACACTTTATTAATCTTAATTATTCCAAAAATCTAATATCTAATGTATAATAATCACACGCAATTAATCACACCCAAAGTTTGTGTTTACATAATATATGTGTGTGTACTGTGTATATATATATTTTTTTATGTATATGTTTATATGTATTTTGGATGCAATTAATCGTGACTATTGGCTTTGACAGCAATAATATTTACATTTAGTCATTTAGCAGATGCTTTTATCCAAAGCGACTTACAAATGAGGACAATAAAAGCAGTCAAAATCAACAAGAGAGCAATGATACACAAGTGCTATAACAAGTCTCAGTTAGCTTAATGTAGTACACGTAGCAAGTTTTTTTTAAAATCATATAATAAATAAAAAGAAAACCGATAGAATAGAAAAAGAATAGAGCAAGCTAGTGTTAGAGGCCTTTTTTGCTATTGTTAATTGTATAATAAATAAAAAGAAAACAAAAAGATTAGAGAAGCAAGTGTTAGCTTTTTTTATTTTAATTTTTTTTAAAGAAAACAAGCAGTTAGTAAATAAATAGTGCAAGTCTAAAAGGGGCAAGTTTTTTTAAATACATTTTTTTTATAAAGAATAGAATTAGAATAGAGAGTGCTATATATAATATACATATAAATATCTATCTATCCATCCATACATACAAACATATATATAGATCTTTTGTATATATAGATAAATTTTTTCTCACACACACACACACACACTGAGAATATATATAAAAAATATGTGAAAAATATCAGTATTTCAAGATGATATAGACAATATTTCTAGGCAATATAGCTAAAAATTTAGATTGATTGAAATTTATCTTTTTCATTCTTTTTTGCAATATTCTATAGACACACCACTCAAAAGTTTGGAATAATTAAGATTTTTTTAAATGTTTTTGAAAGAAGTCTCTTCTGCTCACCAAGGCTGCATTTATTTGATCAAAAATACATTACAAATTTTAAAAATATTTAAAATAGCTGTTTTCTATGTGAATATCTGTTAAAATGTAATTTATTTCTGTGATGCGCAGCTGTATTTTCAGCATCATTACTCCAGTCTTCAGTGTCACACGATCTTCAGAAATCATTCTAATATGCTGATTTGCTGCTCAAGAAACATTTTTATTATTATCAATGTTGAAAACAGTTGTGATGCTTCATATTTTTGTGGAAACCATTATGCATTTTATTTTTAAGGATAATTTGATGAATAGAAAGTTTAAAAGAACAGCATTTATTTGAAATAGAAATATTTTGTAACATTGTAAATGTCTTTACTGCCACTTTTGATCAATTGAAATGAATAAAAGTATTAATTTCTTTTACTGACCTTTAACGATAAAGCATGTGTGTTGATTTGTGATGGCAGACTCTGGTGCCCTGCGGCGGCGGCGGCCCTATTGACTTCATCTGTCTGGTGAAGGGTTGGCTGGGTCGTGTCTGTCAGCTATTGGGGTCAAAGACGAGCCTCGTTCGGGAGGGAGAGCTGGCGGCCTTCCTGTCCTACGCCATCGCCTACCCGCAAAACTTCCTGCCTGTGATTGACAGCTACAGCGTCAGCTGGTAAGACACGTGCTCATTCAGTAGTGTGGTGTGCTGTGATGTTTTTGACTGATGTTTGTGCTGCAGCAGCGGTCTGCTGTGTTTCTGTGCCGTGGCTCTGGCTCTGTATGAGCTGCAGTACCGGCCGCTGGGCATCAGGCTGGACAGCGGGGACCTCTGCAGGCAGTCGCTGGAAGTGCGGCACGTCTTCAAAGAATGTAGCAAACAGTGAGACACTTCCTTCAGACTACCTCTAATAACACAACATTATTACACAGGCATTTATGCCAACCCCTAATATATATATATATTAGGGGTTGGCATATGACACAGTGCTGCCCACATTGCTATAACAGCAATTGGGTCGTTATACTTCTCATAGATTTCTGCTCATTCTAAATCAGATACAGATAAAGTAGCACAGTAAAGATTACATTAATATGAATGCATTAGTGAGAGCGACTGTGTGTGTGAATTAATTCTACCTGGCAGCGTCTCTCTACTAGTAGTGAAGCTG